AAACTTGGGCATGGAATCCTTAATCAAAACACTTGATTTTATGTCCTTACAAGGAATTCCTTGAAATTTCTTACAACGAAATCTTTGAAAGTATAAGTTTTTCTTTTCTTAAGAAACCCACTATTTTTGGGTCAGGATTTTTTAATTTTTTTTTATTTTGGGGAAGAGGTTCCTGAAAGAAGGAAAAACCAGTAAGGACTATATGATACCCTACACCAATATGCATATTTAGTAGAGCTCCCGTAACAAAAGAATTTATTTGAAGTAGATCATACCACCTATCAACATCTTGCTTTAGATAAGTTATAGTTTGGTTTCAGAGGGACCTAATATATGGGAGGCATATGCAATTCTGAATCGATTTCCACTAAATATTTTAATCGTTTATACCAAATAACATTGCTATAGAACCACAAAACGAAAATCTACGTCCCGAAATTCACTCCATTTAAGCTGATATTAGCCATTATTTTCACAAAAAAACCTGAAACCATATTGATGATATATATGGGAGTTATAGCCAAAATTTTAACAGATCTTGATATGATATCTGGTAGCAAATATTATTCTTGTGGAGTGCATATTACACATTTGACGGACGTAATACCAAATCGGATGAAACATATAAATGGGAGCTATGGCTATATCTGAACCGATTTTCAACACATTTGATGTACTTGCTTGTAGACTGAATTCGGTCGGATGTGTCAAAATTCAGGTCATTTTACTGATATTAGCCATTTGGTGCACAATTAATCCGAAATCAGTTGAAGCTTTAGATGGGAGCTACATCCAAATCTGAAGCGATCATAATAAAATTCTAGTCTATATCTGATATTTTTATACCAAACATCATTCTTGTGGGGAACATATTACGAATGTGGGGGATTTGAACACCAAATCGGATGAAACCTATATATGGGGGCTATAGCTATACCTGAACCGATTTTCTCCGAATTCGATGTACTTGTTTTTAGACTGAATTCGGTCGGATGTACCAAAATTCAGGACGTTTGGACTGATATTGGCCATTTGGTGCACAAAAAATCCCAAAATCGGCGGAAGATATAAATGGCAGCTATATCCAAATCTGAACCAATCTTGATAAAATTTAGCAGAGGTATTTTAGAGCTGTATCTGATATCTGGTACCAAAAATCAATGTTTTCGAACGCATATTACGAATGTGGGGGATTTGAACACCAAATCGGATGAAGCCTTTTTATGGGAGCTATAGCTATATCTGAACCGATTTTCACCAAAATTTCACATAATACCCTTACCCATGTGTGGTGTAGGGTAAAATGGAATGGAAAGAAATGGGAAAAAAATTTCCAAGTAGAAACTAAAATTTTTGGCATGGCATTACCTTTAAAAAAATATTCAAAATACACGACTTTTGTCCTTTCAAAGAATTCCGGAAAAGAGGTTCCAGAAAAAAAGTTTTTGCAAATATGTATTTTAAAAATTTCAAATTTTGTCCAAGAAGATATTGTTATGGAAATAAAAAAAATTGGAATGGGGAAAAACAATGAAAGAATTAAACAAGTAAGCAAAGGCTGCAGTCGAGCGGGGCCGACCGTTGAATACCCTACAACACTATAAACGATACTGTTTATATAGGCGAGATACTCGAAAGAATTCCACAAGATATTGTGAGAAATAATAAAAGAAAACCATCAGGTTGCGTTCTCTATTTTTCGAATAATAGCAACTTAAACTAATTTGCTCATTTCCAATTTATTGGTAGATGTTGCACTTAAATGGTCTTCCTAGATCTGGAATGAATATTTCCCAAAGACCTATAATCTCTCAGAAGTGGCAAAAGATTAACATTTATTATTGGTTTTTGACTGAAACACATCTATATGAGATACAGACATTGGACTATATTCTTCAACGAAATCAGCGTTAACGAAAGAGTCAGAAGTGCGTCTTTCCTGTATTTGTGAATACTCCAAAAAGTCACTGGAATGGACATTTTCGTATTTTGTCTACAAAAGTTGGCAAACTATTTCACACATTGAATATTTTTGGATGGCCATCCAAAACTGCTTGGCTTTTGCAATGTCCGGTAACCCCCATTCAAATGTGCCTGAGGATCGGGCGACAATTACAACCTGCTGACAATTTTACAGTTTTTTGGTCCATTTCAACCCCTAAATATATAGCGATCATCTCCAAAAAGAGTAGGCTTCTATTCTGACCCTCATCTTATCCCCATGCAAAATTTCGTAAGGATCGGGCCATAAATGCGATCTGTATATGATATCCTGATATCCTAACTACTTAGTTTTGTTGGCTGTAGAAATATTAACAAATGATTAATTCAAAATGAAAATATGCCAAAAATATGACAAAATTGAAAAAATATGAGAAAATGTTACAAAATCAATATTTTCATCTTTAGAGAGATATTTTTATGCGATTTTTTTAGACGTTTTTTCCTTCCTGCCAAGAAGCCATTCTGAATTAATGAGAACTGTCGAAATCAATTCAGCCGTTCTCGACATATATGAGATCTTTCAAGCATATCTCCTTTGATAGACATATATATCGCACATATTTTGCTATATATCCGATTTGTTGGATCTTAACATCAATGTAAAGATCAGAAGTAACCTTGTCATGGCTTTGTGATTTCCCCAGGATATAAAATATTCGCGGTTTAATGAAAATTTTTAAATTTTTTCAACGAAAAAGATATGGTCTATTTTACCCACTAAATATTATCCGATGACCACCCAAATTGGTAGGCTTCTTCCCCGCCCTAAACTGTAGCTACATGCGAAATTCCGCGTCGATTGGTCTATAATTGCGACCTGTATAGCTACTGCAAAATCCGACATTTTTTTTAGTATTTGGTCCATTTCAACCCCTAAACATTTGGCGATCATCTCCAGAAGAAATAGGGTTCTATTCTGACCCTAGCCCCACCTCCATTCTAAATTTCGTGAAGATCGGGCCATAATTGCGACCTGTAGAGTGATTACAAATTAACATGGACAGACGGACAGACGGACAGACGGACGGACGGACATACATAGCTAGATCGACTCAGCTCGGCGAGATAGGAAGATCCATATATACTTTCCTATGTGGGAAACCAATATTTCGTGGTGTTACATAATTTTTGGCCCAATCAAACTTAAAATACCCCCAACACATAGTGTTGTAGGGTATAAAAACACGATTTTATTATGTAAAAAATAGACCAAATATCGAAGATTTTTGGTTAGTTCCGAGTCTTTAAAAAAATTATATGAAAAATTAATGAAATCCCTTAAAAGATCTTTTTTGACACGTCCAAGTCCTGTAGCAATTAATCTCAAAAAATTAGGAAATTCGGATTTTTGGCCCGGAAATCATTTCTTAAGAAATCTACGATTTTGACAGGAGGTCTTTTAACAAAGCTCTTTGAAAATCTACTTTTGTTATTTTTATGAGGAGTTCGCTAATAAAAACTCTTAAAAAAATTAAAAACAAATTGAAATCTCATACAAAGGGGTCCTAGTCATTTATTTGCCCTGTCTTCGAGAAATCCTATATTTGTAACGAAATTCGATAAATTGCTCCTCATCAACGCTAAAAATTTGAAAAATCCTGAATCGTAAAGCAGGCATTTTTTGAATCGAAAAATGACACATCCAAAAAATATTTCGTTTATTTAAGATTCTGACATACATTTAAGGCAAAGGTTATAACAAATTTAAGGGATTCTCAAGTCAACCATCAAACCATCAAATCAACCGGTTTATTTGAAACGTCTGTGATTAATGCTTTGTAATCGATCGATTATGGAAACATTCCAAAATTCCCAAATTCCGTTTCCTATGAAATATTCTGTTTTTAAAAGCATCATCCGAAGAAGATGTACGCGCTCACACTAATATGTTGTTAGTATCGCTTTTAAAAATAGATAAATTATAAACAAACAGTAGATGATGTGTCAAATGGGCTTAATGAGATAACTGAGATGTTGACAGTCAGTCAGTCAGTCAGGCAGGGCAGTACCGGCAGTCAGGGCAGGCGTATGCTTGTTTATGACATACATATGCAAATACTCATTCATTCATAAAAATTATCAGTTGTGGAGAATGACGACGTCACAGAAACGCCTCAGTTTCCGTTCATATTAACGTAATCGGAGTTTCCTACAACAACAGCAATGAGATGTTGATATTATTGTTGTTTTTGTTTTTACCGGCCCCAAATACCGGCCGCTGAGAATTGAAGATTGATCTTGCTCCAACATTGTCATCACCTGTGTGTGTTTTTGAGAGAGAGAAAGATAGAGAGACAGTCACTTTTTTTGTTTTTAGTTGAGAAGATAATATCGTTTCTTTTATTTTTAACAACAACGGCTCTTTGATTACTCTCCGCAGTAGTTCGGCCTGCCGAACATGTTAACTGTTAGAGCAATCGTCAAGTACACGATAAATATCGGCAATATCATGTTGTGGCTGCCGTTATAAGTCCCAAAGCCAAGTCAATCTCAGAGTAAATGTCGATAAATATGAGTGTGAGTAAATCAATTTTTAATCCAAAAACACTTGTCCATTGATGTGTGTGTGTTGTTGTTGTCGTGGTTCTCTATTATGATTTTTGCTTCCGACAGCAGGCCGTTGGGGAGGCATTGGAGAAAATGAGCGTGCGTGTGTGTGGGCCATATTTGAGGGTAATGAGTTAAAGCAACTAAACGATTGGCTGTGAAGATGTTTTGCCTTGTTGTCCAACTCACTCACACTGTTGCATGGCGGTGAGCTTGCTCGGCAACACTGTCACCATGTGAGCAATGCAACAGCAACAAGTGTATACGGTATCGTGTGCGCACACATACACCCGCACGTAGTTTTTTTTTGCCAACAAATTTCTCATTATCAAAGAGTTTTATAAGACAGGGTTAGTAACGTTTTAGTATTAATACCAAATTGGTTGTCAAACAATAAACACTTGAAATCCTGAACAGCAAGAAGAAGGAATACTAGCTGAAAACTTGCAACAAAATTGGATAAAAACAAAAGCGTTCAGAAAAGTAAAAGAAAACAACAAAATAAAAATAAAGTATTAAATTAGCCACCAAAAAAAAATTAGTATTGGAAAAAAATATTTCTGTAACAACCAGCCATCAAATTGTGAAATTATTCGAAAAAATCAAAACAAAGGAGAAATTCAAATAAATTAACTGTTACAAAAAAAAGACTCTTTGAAATTATAACATGACAGAAAAACCCAAGTGTTAAAAAAAATAATTAATTATAAAACTAAGTTGAAACTATTTCAAAAATAACAACAAAGTATTAGACAAGGACCAAACAAATAAACAATTGAAAAAGTATTATTAATTTATAATAAACAAAATGGATATATATGTGCCGGAGATTGCATTAAAACAGCCCAAGGCTGATCCTCGTACAGTGCTTTTGCGAAAAAGAAATTATCTCGATTCGCCCAAGGATTGTCCGGCAACACAGCAACAACAACAAAGATCTCATTTTAAAATGTCAAATAAAACACGGCCAATTGCTACACAGACTGGATGTCCGGAATGTGATAGGCTGCTGAATGATCAGTCATTACCACAACATTACCACAATCACCACTCCAGTTCATCGCCAGCATCAGCATCGTTCAGCTCAACCTCGTCCCGGCCAGTATTAAGAATAGAATCTCAAACGGCGAATACATTTGAAAATCTCAATACCACTACATCACATTCCAAAATTTTTGTTAATTTATATGAATCCCGCCATTTTAAGCATTTCATGTCATTGCATAGCCCCAGTGCATGTTTAGAAAATCTGTACAAATTCCAAAAAACAAGTAAGTAAAAAAATATATATACATGTGTGGAAAAACGAAAATCCAAAAATTGTTTATGGTTTTGGGAAAGATATTCCAAAGATAAAAGTATATTAAAATAAAATATATGGATTTCATTGCTTAAAAAATCGGGGTTTTTAGGGTAAAAACTCCATTTTTCTGTTCCTTAAGGAATTTATGCTATTTCGCTTTCGCTTTGGAAATAAATTCCAGTTTTCATAGCAAAAATCCAATTTTGGAAAAAATGTGGAAAGTTCTTATGGTAGAGCAATTGATCCTTACAGAACAAGTCCTAAGTATCCAATTTTCCGGAAAAAGAAGAAAAGAAACAATTAAAAATAACTAAATACAATAACTAAAAATAGGAATAAATCGTAGCTGCTTTCTTAATTTCTAAATAAAGCCCTCTTTGGTTTCCTCTCAATTTTTGTTGTAACTGAGAGAGTGAAAGTCATTGCTGATAGTTTTTTATAGCAAAAATCCATTTTCCATCAATTTTTGGTCCTTATGGAACAAATTCGAACTCTCCCATTTTCCGGAGAAAGAAGAATTGAAAGAAAAAATTGTAGATTTCAATATCTAAAAAAATCAGTTATTTTATGGCTCATAACCAATTGTTCCTTAAGGAATAAATCCTATTTGAATTCTAAATTTTTAAGTAATACACTCCTTGGTTTCCTGTAAATTTTTGTTATAACTGAGAGAGTCCTGAGAGCTTTCCATAAAAAAAACTATCAATAAATTCTCCTGCAATAAATAGTCCTTTGCAAAATATTCAGCACAAACAATATTTACAATTTTAAAAACTAACTATAAAAATCAGGTATTACAAAAAACCGACAAAAATTTGCTTGTTTTTCTCCTCCTCCTTTTTTCAAAACCATAGATATTTTTCCATCTTAAATGAAAAAAATAGAATTATACCTCAAAATAATGCAAATGATTCATGAACATCAAAGATATTGAAATAAATCTTCAATATCGATAGTTGTAATCAATGAGGGCATTCAATGCGTCTAATTAATTCTATTTTTGCTAACATTACACTATGGCGCGTTAAAAGCGACTCATCATTATGAGTGTGTAAAAATAAAATGCACAGATACATTGTAAGCGAAGGGCCTGTCGCAAATAGTAAATAATTTAATCGATATTTTTCCAAGAGTATTTATGGAAAATAGTAATAGTTTTGATCTATAAGAAGGCATTTTTTATTCCACCAAGAAAAAAGCCTATACCGAGGTATTAAAATTATACTCTTCAAATTAGTATTTTTATGCTATGGCGATCATGGCGATTCTGTGAGTTTAAATACATATTGTTGGAATTAATTTTGTATATACTTCAACAACAATTTTTTGGTAGAGAACCATTTCCATTTTTTTTGCGTTCACGTTTAGCGCAGTTGCCGCTAATACAATATAAAAAAAACATTATTTTCCGAGTAATCTCATTAAATTTTAAATAATGATAATTTGGAATATATGTACTTGCCGGAAAGAGGAAAATCTCAGCAATATTTCTACTAAAACATTAGTCCATGTTTTTCCATGAGCATTTGTAGTCATCCAGGGAAAAATAAGTACATGATACTCATTCCTTAAAAGAACGTTGGAAAAATTCAAACTATACAAAAAAATCCTACATCTGCAATCGTTTTCAAGAAATAAATGAATTTTTTTTAGAAAAAGTTAAAAAAAAAAATATTTTTTCAAAAGATTGTCAAGGCTATAACCTAAAACATTTAACCTGATTTTTGGCAACCCTAATTATACCATATATTTTACTAATAAATCTCATATATATATATTAGTTATCGTTATTCACCTGAAACTTAAAATTTGAGGTTCCTGAAATGTCTGTTCTCTCCTTGCGAAAAATGTCAGATTCAGGCCCACAAATTATTATAGCCCCAATATAACGGTACCTCCCGATTTTCGGTATTTTGACGATTGCAGACACAATTTCCAACCAAATTAGCTGAAACTTGGCATTTAGGGATATTGGAAAGTCTGTTCTCTCCTTGCGAAAAATGTCTGATTCAGATCCACTGATTGGAATAGCCCCCATATAATAGTTTCACTTACTTTATTGTAATTAGTGAATTTTTCTGTGTTCTCCAACCGATTTTACCGGTAGTTGTGGAACAAGTTTGAATACTGATACTTTAATTTAATTTTTTTTAGGAAATGGTAAATGGGAACTAATAATTTTTTTATTGTTTTTTTTTTTTTTTTTTTAAAAAAAAAAAAATAATAATAATTATAATTATAAATAAAAAAAACCTGATCAAAAGTAAGTGTTGGGGTGTCTTGGGTGACTCTAAAAGATAATGTAATGTTCATTTTTTTAAATTTAAAAAAAAATGCGCTGCAAAAATTCTCGAAAAATTTCAGAGCTAAAATTTCAACCACGAAAAAGTTTATTATTCCGATTTATTGAGGAATTCAATTTTCAGGCTTTTCGAAATGTTCTCAAAAATCGGAGCTGCTAGAAATATGAAAGAGTGCGAAAAAATGAAAATAAAATTCACATAAAATTCAGAAAAAAATGCAGTCTTTATTTAAAAACGTTTTCTTACCAAATTGTGGACGGTATTGAAAGTCCAAAAATACAGCTTAAAAGCCAGTGTTGGGTGCCGTAGTGTCTTGGGGGACTCTGAAAGAGAGCGTCATGTTGATTTTCCCTGTCTTTCCCAATTTCGAATAAATTGCAGAAAAAATACCGAAAAAATTAAGATAAAATTCAAAAAAAAATATGTCCTTATTAAAAATTGATAGATCGATCCAAATAATTTAAAGTTTGAAGATTATTTTATGAGCAGTTTTAAGAAGTGTTGCCGAAAAAAGATTGTAGAAAAAAAAAAAACACTCCTTATAATTGCTTAGTGTAAGTTGTAAGTCAGGAGGTATACAATTCCGATTTTTTCTACATTTAAAAAAAAAAAAAAAAAAAAAAAAAAAAAAAAAATTTCTTTTGCCAATTTTCATTTCTACCGTAATGAAACGATCATCTTAAAAATACAAGATAAACCTAACTCATCTCTTACTCCGAATTTTCCATTGATTTTGAGTTCTTGGAACCACCAATTTTTTTATCTATACTTCATTGTATCTCTTGTAAAATTATACAAGTAGACTCTATAAAACGTAAAAAATGTTTTTTTAAATATTAGTTTGCATTTTTACCTTTATAAAAAAAAATCATTATCATCAAAAAATACAAAAAAAAAAAAAAAAAAAATCTACAACTCCCCAATACATTAAATTACCAAACATCTTCATCCCAGCATTATGACTGTTTTCGAGTAATTTATAGAAATAGGTCAAAAGAGTATTGAGAAGAAGAAGAAAAAAAGAAAAACTAATGATATTTATTATTTTTGTTTTCATCAGTTTTACTCAATGGAATATTCCATTTTCATCCCTAATGGCATTTTGCTCGCCCACACAACGGGGCAAAAAGAGTTAGATCGCCAATACTGGTAGTAATTAAAGGACATAAAAATGGACAATTATTATTGACACGAGAACATCTTATAAATGTCACCTACTTGTTGGATTCATTACACACACACACAAAGATACACATATGAATGATTATATGTATAAATGTATGGTATGTTCTATGGAACACTATTAAAACAGGTCACCAAATGCATTCAAGCGTAATAGCCTGTGTGTGTGGGTTTATTTATCTGCTAATTAGTGCACAAATGATGGCAAAGATAGAACAAATTGTAGGATAAATGAAAATAGCCATGTTTTCCATTGTAATGGAAATGATGGGGGGTGGTAAGGCAAACCAAAAAAGGAGAAGAAAACAAAACATAACACCTGTGAGGAATATTTGCCGACCATCTATTCATGTATTTTTTATTTTATTACAATAATAATGAAAAATAGTTTCTTTCTTTCTATTTTCCCTACTTTGATTCATAAATCAAGAATTCAAAATTATCTACAAATGCAAATGTTTGGTATGTGTCGTACAAATTCTCTCTGACGTATGTTTTTCTTGTTTTCTTCTCTTCACACAGTCTAACTGACTGAGTGACTGATGGATATATGGTAGACATGCACATATTTTAATTTATTCCCCCCTCAACCATTGTCAACACAAATTAATCACAAGTTATATGTTTATTTATTATTATTATTATTGTTATTGTTAGTTGGAAGGCATGATTTTTGTCTTGTATATAAAAGATTGACGTACCTTGGGATAGGTTCTTCGCCCAAAATCCTATATGGCAACAAATGTTCGTACAAATTAGATAATGGTCTTATCATTGGTCAAACAGCGAGTACAAAAAAATGTGTTAGATATTTACCACATTTAGGCTGAGGACACCAGGGGCGTTGAATGAAGGGTGTGGGAGATAGTTTTAAAAAAATACCAGATGTTAGATGTTTACAAAAATACCACATTTAAGCTGAAGACATCAGGGGCGTGGAAAGGTTTAGTTTAAAGTTTAAAAAAATACCAGATGTTAGATGTTTACAAAAATACCACATTTAGGCTAAAGACAGCAGGGGCGTGAAAGAAGGGCGGTAGTTTGATGCTGAGTTGGTAGGACTTCATTTTCAAATTTAGGTGTCAAATTTTATAAGTTGGCGCGATAACTGCACTTATCATCTGTAAAATACGATTTTTAAAAAATTAAAAAAAAAAAAATGAGAAAACAATTGCATAAAAATTAGTAGAAGTCCTCATTAATCTCTCAAAAAGTTGTCTTTTAAATGGAATTGGAAAAAAATAAAAATTAAAATTCTTGTTTTCAAATTTAAGATTCAATTGGCTACAAATTAGGTGATGCCCTTGCTTACCCCACATGCGCGTGTAGGGTACCATAAACTAAGATTATGTTGACTTTATCTTTGACTTTGTTTTTATCTTTGAAATTATTTTCTTCCCACAGTTATTTCTCATTTCTCTACTAATTAATCTCCTAATAATTGTGAGTATCTTAATGTCAATGTATTGTGTGGGCTCAAGTGTTTTCGATTTGTATGGGAGTTATGTTGAAGGTGTTATCAGTTGTCTCTGATAGATAATCAGAGTAAATAATGTGCACCCTAACTCAAGGGTCAAAGGTGTTGGGCAGACTTTAGCAGACGGCTATTATTACGGGGGATGTTAAGAGGATTTTAAATCGTATGAGTAGTACGGGGTCGTATGAGTAGTTGTAATAAACATACGCTCCATTGTACCGACTGGGAGTCTCGTGTGGATTTCGAAGCAATTTTTTTTACGATTAAACATCGAGTTTTCCTTATGTATCACATTTAGAATTTCCATGGACCGAAATGTCACTGAAATGTCTTTTCTAACCTAATCTAAAGTTAGGACATCATGGGAAACAATAATCCATATTGGTGATAAAAATTGCTCTCTAAGGGTCGAGCAGCTGTGTGCTTCCAGTTTTAGTCGATTTCTCGCCAATGGGTCGTAGGATCATTAAAGAATATTAACTCCAAGTTTTAGGCGTTTTTCGCAAAAAAAAGGTTCCAAGAATTTTTATTTTTACCTTGAACAAACCTCGCAATTCAACGTTGAAGCGCATTGAGGCTTCTAATATTTTGAAAGGACTTTGCAGTTTTTTAAGTGTTTTCTACATTTTTTTAACAATTGGTTGATTTAATTTTTAGGTCCTGCTTTTCGATATTATCAGACACAACTTTCAAGGTCTAATTTAAAAAAAATATTATGAGATCTCAAAAATCATACTCCCTGAAAAACCACTACTTCTTATAGCCTCCTCTCAGATACCGGTATTTCTTTCTTTTGAAATGTGTGCCAAACATTTCATCCAATGGCGAACGATCCACATACGTCCGACCGATCACCCATCTGTCTGTAAAAATATCATATTTAGTCCAAAATTTGCTCTTCAAAAAACTTTGATCTAACATAACTCGAATTTGATATTGATGGACAATATCGGACGAACCTCCCTCCTTTAACCCTACACCATCGCCCCAAGTGGCCAAAATTTCCATGAAATCATAGACGCAATACAAACTTAATTCACATTTTTTGCATTATCAATTTTCTATAAAACTTAGGCTGAGTCTGAAGATGGGCAATATCAGGCTTCTAGTAATAGAAAGCCTTTAATCAAATAAAATGTGAGTAAAGCTACCAAAATTTTCTTTAAATTTCGAATATCTTGATATGAAAAGAATGAAAACGGTCTAAATTTTAATTTTTTTTTTAATTTTGTCATAGACTGTTGTACCGATACTGAACTTCAAATACGAAATTTGAAATAATTCCGGTGAATTATATCGTATATTTTTCGGGTTTGGTTGTCCTGGAAATATAAAAAAGTTAAGTTCTCGTTGTGATTTTCCCAGAAAATATAAAGGGGTACTATGACAACTTTCTAGGATATATTTATTTAAGATTTCGAAGATCTCTGATTCTCCCAGAAAATATAAAAAGGAACTATGACAAAAAAAAAGGAAAAACCCTCTCTTTCGGAATGGCTTTTCCAGACATTCGGAAGCGCATACATATTTTAGAACTCATAACGCACAATTTTTGACCGATTAATTAGCTAAAAAAAAACAAATTAGCCGATTTCCTCAAAACATTGTAATTTTTGTCCATCAACAAAGTATTTCGTCCTCCAATGTCATAGAAAATATCTGGAAATTTCCTAAATATTCATTTCTTTTTCAAATATTGATCTCTTCTAAGCTATGTCTACAAGAGTTGCTCCATTTCTCTTCTTCTTTTCTTCAGCATTTTTTAATCAAACCTTTCTCTTCTGCCATTGGCGACAACATCTTCGGCTAAACTATGAATGGCATTACAAGGCCACACACGCACTTGCATTTCTAACAGATTAACTTGTTAATAATTACATGTCGAACGACAACTGGCAATTATTCGTCATCAATATTTATTTCCAATAGATTTCACAGTTTTTTTTTCTTCTTCATCGTCTTCTTCTCTCGGCTGTTATAATGAAACAAAATATCTAATGTCTTTTGCCGGTTTTGGTATTTTATCAAGGCAGACACAATCTCATTGATTTTTATAAAATATTCTCGTTTTTTTTTTTTCTATATCTTTGCTGTCAATGTGGTCTTCTATAGATTTCTTAGCGATTGAAAAGAAAAAGAAGACAATAAACACAATTGTATACTGCGGTAGGTTTGGTATGTTGGTTACATGTTGGTCTAATAAAATGCGTGTGTGTGTGTAGCTATATTTATGTTTTACACAATTTTCCTTCGATATGGGTGTTTCCATGCACTTTTTCCACACGTCTTAATAAAGGACAATACGTTGGATATTTTTGCCTATTTTCTCTTGATTGTTTGAGTATGTGTGTAGGTATAGCTCGTTAGAGCTTATTACAACTCATGCGTGTGTGTGTGGGCATTTGTCAAAGATAATTGGATGAATGGAAAGAAATCAGTTCTCATTATCGTAAATAATGGTAACGTGTATGTGAAATTTCGTTTCGTTTGTACAACCTCGAACAATACATTTTAAACCCTACAATGTATATATACAGAATCATCATCAAATTCTGTGTAGATTTAGCGGTGCCTGTCATTCTGTGGAAATCACTCTAGCTTCCGAACTAAATGAAGTAGGTGGATAAGATTTAGGTCTACAGGACTTTTGGTATTGAAAAAGAGTTATATAAGTCCACGTTCTGGTATGGGGCGTATATAGCCGTACCGACAGATGTAAGGGTTTTTTTTCTAGGTATTTTAGTCGCAATTTCAAATTTTCTGTAAATCAGAAATTTAAAGTTATTCCCAGTATGAAGAAAACAGAGGACTGTACAAATGAGTCCAAGTTTTGGTATAGACCCCATATTATTGTACCTCCATATATTCGTCATTTTGATGATTTTTGTAACAGGAATTGTTTCAAATTTGGTATTTAGAGTTCGCAATGAAAGAAAACCAGTCTCGTAACAGAAAAAAAATTACAAGAAAAGAGGAAATTTCCTGTAAAGCTCCCCGGAAGCGAGATAGACCCATAATTACTTTGGAGGATCTTTATAGAATTACTTTCTAAGTCGATCAGTCCGTCTGTCCATGTATTCTTGTGAACAAAATGCAGGTCGCATTTATTATCCAATTGAGATGAAATTTTCCTAACAATATTTGTTTGGCCCAAGGACCAACCCGATTGAAATTGGTGAGAATCGGTTCAAATTGAGATATAGCTACCCTATATAACTTTAACCGATTTCGGGTTATTTGTGCACCAAATGACCAATATCATCGTAAATGACCTGAATTTTGGCACATCCAACCGAAGCCAGTCTAGAAGCAAGTACATCACATCTGGTGAAAATCGGTTCAGTTTTAGCTTTCTCTCCCTTATATATGTTTCATCCGATTTGGGGTTTTAAATCGCTCACATTTGTAATATACAATCCACAACAATGATATTTCGTACCAGACATATTATAGAGCTCGGAAATACATTTGCCAAATTTAATCGAGATCGGCTAAGATTTTAATATAGCCCTCAAATAAATCCTTAATCCGATTTCAGGTTTATTGTGCAAATAATGGCTTATATCAACCCAAATGGAGAGATTTTCGGAACATAAGTTTTCATTTGGTGAAATTCGGCTCTGATATATCCGATTCGAAGTGATATCCGATTTCAGGTTTATTGTGCAAATAATCAGCCCAAATGCAGAGAATTTCGGGACATAAGTTTTCATTTGCTGGAATTCGGCTCCTTATATATATTTTTTTAATATAATCCTTCTCGAAGTGATATAATGCATTCTATAGCAATGTTATTTGGTATAAAAGATAAAAATATCTTCGTCAAATTTAGTGAAAATCGATTCAAAATTGGATATGCCTCCCATATATTTTCCCTCCGAAAACTATTTATAACTGCTCTAAAGCCAAATGTTGATAGGTTATACTTCAAATAAATTATTTTGTTACGGGAGCTCTACTAAATATGCATAATGGTATAGGGTATAATATAGGCCGATTTTTGGCTTTTCCTTACTGGTTTTATTTCAAAATTGGTCATGACTCAATAAATGACAATTGAAAATAAACCAAGTAGTCGTTTTATCTGCTGTCCAATGAGTCCAAAATTCAATTAGCTGTTTTCTCAATATTAATCTCAATGAATAATCACGATTATTTTTATAGAAATCCATCATAGACTGCTGTCCTCAACTCAAGACATTTTCAAGATCACTAACCACAGTTAGAAACGCCATTTATCTATACTAAATAACTAATTATGTATGAAAGCCGGCCGGCCGGTATACATTTATATAACAAAAAAAAAAAAAAAAAAAAAAACATTTATATCTCGCTACGAAAAGAGTGAGTAGCAACAACAAACTCATAGCCACATGACAAGTATTGGAAAAAATAAAATAAATGAATGAACGACCGTACGATCTGAAAATCTCATCTCGGCTCGGTTGACTCAAATTAAAACATTCTTTAAATACGACATGTGCATTGAACGTTTTCAGACTAATTACCGCATTGTTTCGAACATGTTAGCGCTCTCATTAACAGAGAAGAGAGTTTGGTGAACATAAAAGTATGAATGAACAAAAAACAAAATCACATTCTCATTTGTTGGCATTAAAACATGTGTGTGTTCTGACCACACACAACTCTGGAATACAGTGGGATAGGTCGAGCTCCCATCAAAATCAGTGCCACCAAAAGTGTAGTGCACATTCCGGCACGTAGTGCAATAAGCATTGCAAGATTTTGTTTGCGTTGTAATTGCGGCTTACGTTTTGGCACAGTGATATATTAGGTAGTTAAGAAATAAAACATTTATATTTTTTTATTTTAAATCCAAAAAAAAAATTATATGAAACACATATTCATAATATTTAATTTACTCATAAAAAAAATAAATATTTTTTTTTTGAAAAATTTCGTATTTATTTTTTAACTCACCCTCTCTCTCCCCCTCTCCCTCTCTCTTTGCAGAATTACTACTTATCCTATTATTTATTTATTGTGCCATATCATCGCTATACCTACCAACCACACAAGCCATACCCGTTCGTCGTACAACCACATCTGGTCAGCGGCTAATTTTACACTCGAACGTCTATCGTGAGCGTTATCATCAAAATTTGCTACACGAACAGCGGCAACATCAACAGCATCAGCAACAAGTATTACAGAAATTCCATCAGTATCATCACCAGCAACAACAGCAGCAACCGCATCACAAAACCCAACATCGTTATTCGTCACAACATTTCCAACAAGTCCAAAGACCCTCATCGTATTTAGCGCCCATACTGAGAAAAGTCCATCGTCATCAGTTGCAACATCATCACTTGCATCAACGTGCTGCCCCCATTGCCAGCCGATCGGCCCAATACAAAATGAGTAATTGTAGAAATGATGACACCTTCAACATTTTGTATTTGCAAATGGATGCAACGTTGCAGTTCATAAAGGCCGTGTGTTCCAAATATGTAAGTTAATGTATAAAATTAATTAATTTAAATATTTATTTCATGTGTATTATTAAACAAAGGATGAAGGCTGTATTAAGTTGTGTCATTCCGTTTGTAACACCTCGAAATATAGAGAGCCCAGAGAGTATAAATATATTCTGGCCTACGTCGATTCAGCGATGTTCGTCCGTCTGTGAAAATCAGTCTAACTTCCGAACAAACTGATGTAGATTAATTAACTCCAATGTATGTTAGGTCTACAGGACTAATTGAAAATTGGCTATACATTTTGTTATAACCCAAACCAACCCCCATCCCCCAATATAACTGTGCCGACAGATTTAAGTTTTTTTTTTTTTGTGTGGATGTTTTAGTCAAAATTTTAACTCGGATTTTCTACAAATTGGCAGTACATGTTCCCATTATGTTAGAAACACCCTTGCCTAGAAATATCAGTATAGATCTGAGTTTTCCTTCAGTCCCCATATAATGGTACCTCCAGATATTCGGTATTTTAAAGAATTGCGTCAAACTTTTCCCCGGACATTTTCAAAATTTGGAATTTAAAATTCCTAATTGAAAATGCGACCTTTGGCAGAAAATTCTCTCTGCAGGTCCAGGTCTTCGTATAGCCCCCCAATAACCGTACCTCCCCATATTCGGTATTTTGATGACTTTAACGAAAGTATTCACTGAAATTCTTTTAAATTTGTTATTTGAAGTTATTAATGGGTACTGCGTCTTGAAGCAAAAAATTGCCTCAGAAGGTCTACGTCTTCGTATAGCCTCCATGTAACGGTATCTCTCCGTATTCGGTATTGATTTTAGGTATATTACTTACCTGAATTTTGTTATTTGTTTGTTACTTAGAGTTTCTAATGGGTACTGAAGCCTGTGGCAGAGAATTTCCTCTGCAGGTCCAGGTCTTCGTATAGCTCCATCCACGTCTTCGCATAACCCTCGATATTCGGTATTTTGATGATTTTAGGGCCATTACTCGCCGGAATTGTTTCAAATTTCGCAGTTGAAGTTCGGAATCGGCACTACAGCCTCATATTCGTATAGCCCGCATATAAGGGATTTCATTTGAGAGGTTTATTTTGACCGATTTTTTCTGGAAATTGTTCAAGTTCATTCAAAATGGTAGATGGTATTAAAAGTTCGGCCAGGCCTGCTTTTCAACTTTTTTTTACATTTTTCAAGTTCCTTCTTAATGGCGGAGCTTAGCCTTTTTTTCGTCTTCAATAGATTTATTTGAAGTTATTTATTTTTTTTTTTTTTTTTGATATTTTTTCAAATAAAAATTAATTTGTTTTATATCTTTGTTTTATTTTTTAGTTGCAAACGCGTGAAAACAAAACATTGGATGAAATGAACGATACATGGAGATTACTCAATTTGGAAATTCGAAACCCCAGACGCCAGCAAGTGACGCTTGACAATGAGGTGAGCATTAAAAAAAACTTACTCAGAAAATTCTTAGGTATAAACTTAGAAAAAAAAAAACATTAATTACTCGGGATATGAAATCTTCAAATTATTGCCAAATTTTGAATTCTAAATCGGTTTTGAGAAAATAAAAAGAGAAAACTGAAGATACAATTAAAAAAAAACAAAAAACAAAAAAAATATTGTCTGATGTATGCTTCCATTGGCTTAAATTCATATCACCCAGGGTACATTTCTTGATCGGTTTTGAGAAAATGAAAACAGAAAACTGAAGATAAAATTAAAAAAAAAAAAAAAAAAAACAAAAAAATTGCCTAAGTCTGGTGTATACCCCCATTGGCTTAACTTCATTCATTATCACCCAGGGTACAATGAAGAGAAGTTGGCCTAAGTTAGAAAATTTTGCTTGTAAAGGGGTCTACCTGTATGAATTGTAATGCCAGAGTTACTATTAAAGCAAATGCAACAAGTTGTGTTATTATTAAATAAATAAAACAACTTGTTGCATTGATTGCATTTGAGCATTCCCAAGTGAATGAGAAACACACTCATTCAAAAAATTAAAAGAAAAACCCAAACGTTGAACGTGGCGTGTGAAAAATTCGGTGAAGCGAAACTTACTAGGACCATTTGGAATGGAATTAAAAAAATATGTTTGTCCTCAACATTTCTAAAATTTCCCTTACATTTGTCAATTTTGAAATTGCGACTAATTTCAAAAAGTGTAATACATTTTTTTGAATTTTTATACAAACAATAAAAATATAAGAAATGGCAAAAAAAAAACAATTTATTAACCCCCATCTTCCCCTGCCATTTTCTCATTGCAGCTCCATCAGAAAATGCATGACTTCTATTTGAATCTACACAATTTCCAACAACTGGCCGAGTTGGTTGATCGGGACACCAACGATAGCAAGGTCAGCATTGAACATGGCGAAGGGATTCGCGTGGGTGTTATATTGGAGGCTTTCCAACATCTGAAAACCGAAATCACACGTAATATGCAGGAGACGGAAGGTGTTTTGAAAGCTTTGGCCATTGACAAGCCCAACTTGGAGGATAATGTTGTCGAATTCAATACCACGCATGCGCGGAGATTACGTGACTTTCTCATTATCAAGGAATTCATTGAGGATGTGGAAAGAGTTAAAGATTTCCTGGAACAATTCTGTAACAAAGATAGCAACGGTTTTAGCAGTGGCGATGATGAGTAAAAACGGTGGCCAAAGTAGAAATGTTGAACATTTATATATTTGTCCAAGAGAAAAAAAACACACAAACACACATATTTGTGTGGTGAAAATGCCATGCCTGTAGAAGGATAAATACATACATACATAAACATAAATTAAATAGTTACAAAAACAAAACTACACACTCACACACCCCCATTAGTCTTAAGTATGTTTGATGTTCAATTAAAATTATCTGATGACCGTAGCCAGAAAAACACACTCACACACACATACTTAAATTTATTGTACTTAATTTTTTGTTTGTTACATTGTTTTTGGTTTTCACGAAAAAGGACTTAAAATGTTTTTGCCAATGATTTTAAATTTTTTATTTGTTAAAAAACAAATGTAATGTTCTTAAATGTATGACAAAATTTTGAATTTCCAATAGGAATTCATCCAATTGGAATTTGTACATGCTACTTGCAGGACATAGTTATGAGCCACATAGTAAATTTATGAAATATAGATGTCGTTAAGTCGAAATTTAAAATCATTAAAATATACTCCAGAATTTTGGAAGATTTTAATTGAAAAAAAATTGACAAGAACTGATTTTAAGTTCCTTTACTGGCGAGGGGCTCTCAAATTCATTTGAAACAAAACAATTCTCTCACACTTTTTTCGGTTTTTATTTATTCGTATTGTTATGCCCACATCTGATATCCTTAACTTGTAAGGATTTTTTCTTATTAGTACTATACCTAAGTATATGAGACTTGATTTTATGCAATTGTATCCAAATATCATAGAAGAAAAAATCATGCCCACCACATTGATAATGCATTGGAAAAAACTCATATCCACCACATTGATAACAAAATTTTGAAAGATAGTTGAAAAAGCAGCAGCAAATCTTCAAGGAGATCAGAAAAATGATGTTCCGAAAAATATACAAGTTTTTTAAATGCTTAACAAAATATGCTGTTTAAACATTTCAATATCACTTTTTAGCCCTGCTACATACCTGCGTGATCATCATCACGTTCATTTTTCAAATTTTCGCTTGTTTTTTTTTTTTTCATTGTCATCGTTATACATACATACTTTTATTTTTACTCAACAATAATTTATTACCCTCTTGATATTCATAAAAATAAATTTACTTAATTTATAGGTATTATTAGATATTTTAATTTATATTCTGTAAATTGTAATATGAGCTGATTAATGTTAATCGATCGATGTTAATTTAATTGCATATAAGCTATTTTTTAAGTTCTCTTTTATTTATTGCATTTGCCTTTAGTTATTTATGTCGTAGCTTTTTTATTTTATATTTATTTTTTTTTTCACTGTGCATCTCCCCCCATTAACGATTTTATTTTTTATAACCTGACTTAAACAAATAAGTTTCTGTTTTTTTTTTGTGTTTATTTATTAATAACTTTGTATTTCTTATTTTTACCAATTAAATAAAAATAAAGAAATCATAAGAACTAAAACAACCATTCTTTTAAATTTTTTTCTTCCCCAACAACACAAACTCCTTTAAAAAAACATGCATGTCCGGTAATCAATTAATCTCTGTCTATTCGAAATCAAAAAAACATACAATGTAATAGAAATAGTTTAAACTAATAATAATAATAACAATAATATTAAAAATCAAACTCCCCATACATAACTATCACATAAAAAAAAAACAAAACAAATTCCATTCGTTTTATTACTTATTTTTGGATTCTGTTCTGTGTTGCGGGTGACTTGAATATTTTTGGAATTACTCATCCATCCATGGCATGTGGACAGGTGCTGATCACAGCAAACTGAATAGAATTTTTGCAATCGAGTATTTTTCTGGGATGAGTAATGTCAAGTGGTAAAGAGAGCAATACATTAATGATTGTAGATGTCATAGACTGGTTTTTGTTTTTTCGAAAACCATCATTTTGAACTTACTCCCAATTCCGTCAAGAAATCAAGCGTTTCTTGTATATGAAGCACATGCCCGGAGATTAACGTTTAGTATGTTCAGAGTATGCAGGGAATGCCACTGACCTAAAACCTATCAAGGAAATGTGGAAACACTCGAATGAAAACTTGAGGTATTTTATGGCAATAGAGACTCCATAATTATACCCTACAACACTATGTGTTGGGGGTATTAAAGGGTGTTTTCTTAAGGTAGATAGAACTTTAAATTGTAAAAAGTAACACACAAAAATTAAATTTAAATTTTGATGATTTTTTTATTTGTTTCAGTATACTCTGACAAATCAACATCAGAGACCACTATATTCTTTCGCCGATTGGGTTTTAGAGCAGTTGGCAAATGACCCGTTGTTTTATCGCAAAATTGTGTTCAGCGATGATGCGCATTTTTGGCTTATCGAGTTTTTTAATAAGCAAAATTGCCGCATATGGAGTGAGACCAATGCCCAAGAGACCCTACAGACTCCATTATATCCAGAAAAATGCACCACATGTTGCGGTTTTCACGCTGGTGGCATCATCGGCATTATTTCTTCAAAAATGAGGCCGAAGCTCGCGTTACGGTCAATGGAGATCGTTACCGCACCACGACCGATGATTTTTTGTTTAAAAATATGGATGACATTGATCCGGAGGAGATGTGGTTTCAACAGGATGGCGCTACTTGCCAAACGGCGAACGCAACCATCGACTTATTGAAAACAAAATTTGGCGATAAGTTGATTTCGAGAAGTGGACCTGTCAATTGGCCTCCAAGGTCGTGCGATTTGACACCTCTCGATTATTTTATGTGGGGCTACGTGAAGTCACTGGTTTATGCTGATAAACCAACAACAATTGACGCCTTGGAGGCCAGCATTGTTCGTGTTATTCGTGACATGCGGCCAGCAGTGCTCGAAAAAGTGGCCAAAAATTGGAAGTGTCGATTAAGCTATGTATGTCCGCCCGTTCCTTCTGTCCATGTTAATTTGTAATCACGCCACAGGTCGCAATTATGGCCAAATCTCCACGAAATTTTGCATAGAGGTGGGGTTAAGTCAGAATTGTTTTTTTTTTTTTTTTTTTTTTTGGAGATGATCGCAAAATATTTAGGGGTTTAAATGGATCAAAAAACAGAAAATTTCCGGATTTTGCTTTTACTCTACAGGCCACAATTATAAACCAATCGACGAGATCTTATTTATTCTGCTATATCCTCTGGGCCGATTTTCACAATTCTCATCAATTCGGAATGGTTTCTAGCCAGAAAATTATAAAATCTAAGAAAATCGCGGAAAAATATGCCAATAAAATATTTGAATATTTTTGTTAATTTTTTTTCTTTTTAATTTTCGTCATATTTTTTATCGCATGCGATTTTTTCAATTTGGCTTACAATTTTGAATTGAACATTTTGTAAAGTTTTTCCACACCCTGCAACACTATGTGTTGAGGGCATTATATACAGGTCGCAATTATCATGCGATGCTCATTGCAAATTTTGCATGCTGGTCCAGGTCTTCGCACAGCTCCCATATAAAGGTACCTCCCTATATACGATGTTTTGATTATTTTTGCTACATTATTCACCGTTTATTTCAAGTTTCGAATTTGAATATGGTAATGGCTTATGACAAACAAAGCCTATGTAGGTCCACGTCGTATAGACCCCAATATAACGGCTATATTCGGTATTTTTAAAATTTTAACAGAATTTTTTAAGGATTTTATTTTTTGAAAATTTCTAAATTCGTTCCAAATGGTAGAGGGTATTCAAAATTCGACCCGGCCGAACTTACGGCTTTTTACTTGTTTATCTTAAATTAAAAACCAGTAAAGAAAATCTTAAAGTCGGGAGGGGCCGACTTTATGATAACCTACACCACTTTGCTAATTAAGTAGAGCTTCGCATAACAATTAAAATTTTATGGAAGAATTCAATCATACACGCTATGATTATAATTATAATTTAAAGTTCAAAGGTTAAATATGCAGAAGCATTCGTGTCTTTTAAATTCGGATTTGTATTGCCCATTTGGGGCACAATTAATTTGAAATCGGATAAAGATATATATGGGAGCTATATCTAAATCTTAACCGACCTCGATAGAATTTGGCAGAGATATTTCTGAGCTGTATTTGATATATTTCCCTGAATATCGTTATTACGGAGTGCATATTACGGCTGTGGGTAACAAATATAACAAATCGGATGAACAGTATATATTGGAGCTGTACCTATGTCTGAACCGATCTTCACCAAATTTGACATACTAGCTTCTAGACTCAATTCGGTCGTAAGTGCCAAATTCTATCCCATTTGGACAAATATTAGACGTTTGGTGCACAATAAAAAGTAAATCGGACGAAGTTATATATTGGAAGTTATATATCCAAATCTGAACCGATCTCGTTAAAATTTAGCAAATGTATTTCTGAGCTGTATTTGATATATTTCGCCAAATATTGTTGTTACAGAGTGCATTCTACGGCTGCGGAGGACAAAAATAACAAATCGGATGAACAATATATATGGGAGCTATAGCTATATCTGAACCGATTTCGATCAAATTTGGCATACTTATTTTCAGGTCTAATCTGGTTGTATATGCAAAATTCCATACTACTCGGGCTGATAGTACACGTTTGGTGCACAATAAAAAGCAAATCGGATGAAGATATATATGGGAGCTATATCTAAATTTTGACCGATTATCTCCAATTTCAATAGGGTTCGTCCTTGGGCCAAACAAATGGTTTGTGCAAAATTTCATCTGTATAGGGCAATAAATGCGAACTGTACTTTGTTTACAAAAATACATGGACAGACGGACTGACTGACGGATGCAGATCATCAAAAGGAACTATGGATCTAACTCATTTCCTTTATTAAATTTTAATCAACTTATCCTACATTGTAACTATTTTATCACGCATAGGACACTTAAAATGTGGGTCATTGTGGATTCATAATGAACATTTAACAAATCGTTATATCGGTTGAGTTTGTCGGTTTATCTAAATTCTGAAACAAATATGCCAAAATTAGGGTTTCCAGGTTAAGGTTTCATAGCTATTCTCAACCTTGATTAGTCTCCAATTTGGCATTAGGTTCAACTTCTCAGAAAATTTTGAATAAAAAATATTGACAACATTTTCTATCGAATGGTTAATTCTTTTGTGAAAAAGCATCAAATATCTGAGTTCCACTTTAAAACTTCCGAAACATAATGCAAAATATTGAGTCCTCTTGTGTATGCTTGAGGTTGTGTAAAGGTCCCTAAAACGAATGTTTGGCCTAAGAATTTATGCAAAATATTGAATGAGCCTAAAATATTGTTTGGCCTCAGAACGAAAAACCTTTCTGAAGATTTGACTCAACTTCGAATTTCCCAGATCCCAAATTGGATTTGTACTTTAGTAATTCAAAATGTTGACATTTTGTGGAAAATGTAACAGTCGGAATTGACCAATATTATAACATTCTATTAGAACTATGTGTTTTGCATACTATGTATCAAAAAAAAATTGGTACAAATATTTGGATACACCAGCTTTGGATCCTGTCGGACACTACCTTCGATAAATGTCGTACATGGTTAGATCGACTGAAAGGGATTTTATGCCAAGAGACATGAGATATAAACCCGTTATTGCAGCAGTTTGAAATAATCGAAATTACATATAACCATATCGCACTGTATTTAATCCTTATAAACACTTAATGTTGCTACCATCCTCCTTCACTAAGATGGTGTTATAATTCAATATCCTTGATCTTTTGCCACCTCCTTATTACGTTTTATTTGCTCCCTATCCCGCTTTTGGCAGAGACCACAAATTTTATTAGCGCCATTTTTACCAGGAATATTGGAACCGTTATATGTTACATGAGATGATGACACTATCAATTCGAAGCCAATAAAACGCATTGCCATATATCACATATAACAGTTATTGTTATTTTTCAATCTTTGTTAGGGTTTTTTTAATGAAAGTTTCTTAGATTACTCACCGCCACCGATCAGTCTCCTCAAAAACCGCAAATCGAATACGTCAACGGGATTAAGTACTTTATCAAAAAAAAAAAAAGGAAAAAAATAAAC